CTTTTGAAGGGAAGGGGTTTATTTGGCTTACAGTTCATAGAGGTTTCAGTCCATAATCAGCCAACTCCAAGGCAAGGAAAACAAACAGGCCTGGCAGGGCAGAAACAACATGGCACACACAGGCTGCAAAGGTAACAAGAGCTTAACTTCTTTGTGCATCTCTCGGCCCCAAAGTCCTGCAGATCCATTACTGTGTGGCACATTGATCTGTGTAGTTATTCCTGAATGGACCTTCCAAATGCACTCTAGCCACGAAAGGAATATGGGTTATAAGAATCATATACTAGTATCAATTAGTGTAAGAGATTTTTTTCCCCCCAAAAGATACAATTTATAGAAAGAATTAAAGAAAACTCTTAGTAAGAGTCTTGTTCCAGGTTGTTTACTGGGGTTAGACTTCCCAACTTTCATAAGTGGATGTTTTATCTCAATATCTGGATCTGGAGTATAAACGTTTTTCAATTTTATTGTGGTATAAATTATATATGATAAAAATATTTCAGCTGTATATATCAGTGAGTTTTAGTAAATTTACTGAGTTTGTACAATCGTCACCACAATCCTTTTTTGTTTTATTTTTTTTCCCTGGTACCTGGGATCAAACTCAGGACCTTGTGCTTGTGAGGCAGGCACAGTGCCACTGAGCTAAATCCCAGGCTGAACCACAATCCGTTCTTGAGACTATCATTCACATATCCCATGTGCCCATTAACAGTTAACCCCCCTTCGCATCCTTAATCCTAGGCAACTTGTAATCAGTCTTATCTATAGAGTTGCCTGTTCTGGACATTTTATATAAATAGAATCGTATATCTGTCTTTTCAGTAACATTTTAAATTTTATCCAAGTTATGGTATATCATATTACCCTTATTGTTAAAATATTTTCAGCATGACTTGTACAATGAAGGAAAAGTTAACTCTTGCTTTAAAATTCCAATATGCTCGATCTTTTGGCTTAAAACTCCATCTTCGTGATAGAAATTGTTCTTTATCTCTACCTGAAATTCTCTGAAAGATGGAAAATTGTCAGAAAGTGTCTGTCATGAAGTTTGAGTTTAGGCAGTTAATTGACATTTTGTAAATCTAGATGTTTTTTGAGAAGGAACATATCCAAAATTTTTCTTGGGCAGTGTCTTATATCATATGATTTATCTAAAACTAGAGAAAAATACTAGAAAAATTTCAAATTTTGAGTCAACTAATCTTTGATATTATTTGATATGTATATATTCTATGAGAAAAATATGATTTCCTTATGTATATTGTGTGAGCAAAATTGTTTAATGGTATTTAAAATTTTGTTTCAGTAAGTTTTTAGATGTCATTTTCTCTTTCTAAATTATGAAATCTAGCATGATTATTTCTTTTTAATCTATCTGAGATTGTATTTTGTGTGTGTGTGTATGTACATATGAATGTATGTGTAACAACCAAGCTATTTTATACCTGGCTAAATTTACAAACTCAGATCTTGTTAAAATTTGTTTAAACAGTTTTGTTAGAAACTCTCATATGTCTAATTTGGTGGATTCTTTTCTTGACTAAGTTGTTGAAAACTTCCGTAAATCTTAAATATTATCTCAGTTATTGTCTTTCACACTGGAATTAAATAGTGCTTTCATTTGCTGTTGTGAATTGCAATTATCATTTATCACTGAACATCCACTATACTCTTCTATTCCCGTTTTTCTTGACTGGGTATAATGTGAGTTTCTGTATCTTCACTGAATTCTGCCTCAGTATTATGCATTTGTTTACATTTTTAATATTTCCAGATTTTAAACTAGAAAATAACTAAAACAGATATCAATTTATGAATATGATTTCTGTTACACCATAACTTTCCTGTGTGCATAGGTATACTCTTGTGCTATTTGCATAATATATCCAAGAAGACCTATCGTGATATCTCATCCGTGCATAAAAGTCACCTGAATCAGTCTTTGATACTGACGAGATTGGTAGTGTGTTTACATGTGACACTAAAAATAATGCACATTCCTCTGTAAGTTATAATACAGCAGTGTCCTCTGCAATGCAATGGTTAAAGTGAATTTTAGTTGTATTAAAATAATAAAGTAGTGTTTCATGAAAAAAATGCTTCACTGTCTCAGTTTTAAAAATTTTGAAATGTGGCATATTTGCATTCCCAGTTATTCATAGCCCCAAATGGCTACCATATTGGACAGTACAGAGTTAGAGAAAGCAGTGCTATCCACAGAAAAGCCAACAGGTTTCAATAGGTTGACTCAGTAAAAATTTATTCCCAGGCAGCCTTCCAACATTGTATAGGTTAGATGCAAACGATGGCCTAGAAACAGCTTGGAGAGGTCCAACTGGGTGCCAAGATATTCCAGGACAGTGCAGAGAACTCACGGGGGCTTCCTTGGACATTTGAATATTTTGAAGATAGCACAGTGATAAATGCGGTATAAACTGTTTGGAGCTACAGTAACTAGAAAATGCCAACTGTTAGGTATTTCTCTTGGCCTACAGGCACTGTGAAAAAATCATTGAAGTCCTAAGGATGCTTTAACCAAGAAACTTTGAGACCCTCTGACTTAGAATTCTTTCTTCCACTGGCCAGAAATCAGTCACATTGACCCTAATTTCAATGGAGGATAAGAAATAGTCTTTTTCTTATTGTAGAGAGCACATAGATTGTTTCTGCTAGTCTGTCTTTTGATTATGAAAACCCTTTTACTCTCCACATGTAGTACTTGACTTTCCTCAAGGAGGCAGTCCATTCTTATGTGATCTGTGTTTCCAACTAAGTCCAGGATGTCTGAATTGGCTTCGAATTTGACATAGATTTTTTTCTTTGGGACTTTAAATGCTAATGCTTGGTAATCTTTCCTGCAGCATTATAACTTCTCCAGCTGGATCTATAGTTCATCAAGAAAAAGGCTGGGGCCTAAAAGCCTAGCTATCTTTCTGGAGAAGATTAAAAAAAAAAAAAACTGGTTGGATAGGAGTTGGAGTTAATTCTTTGTCAAATGCCCCCCCCATTTTTAGTCTCACATCTCATTTTTCTCTTCCTCCAGGCCCAGCATCCCCAAGTTCATCTTTCAAATTCTATTTGGTGAAAGATAATACGTCTCTTTTCCTGTAGTGGGACTGATTATTGCCAAACATGCTAGGAGAGACCAAGCTTCTGTACACATATTTTCAAGCACTCTCTTTTAGCCTTAATTCCCCCCACCACTTCAAGGGTACCTGATGTCTTCATTCTTAAGTCTTCAGATTTCATCACCACTATCCCACCAGAAGACAGCTGTCTAATTTGGAGCTCAAATCTTCCATGATTTGTCTAGTAGGAACCCTTTGAAGTTGGCTTTTGAATTCTTTTGGCATGACTTAATTCCTTAAGCACATCTTTGCTTTCTGGTAGCCATCTTTCCAATGAGCTTTGACTCCTTATAGTAGGAATACATATATAAAGGCCATATCCTGGGATACTGATGTGCTCATTGCTATTTGGATATGTGGATGTCACTGTTAGGTCTACATCGACAGAATCAGAGAATATATGCATGCACACATTGTACATGTATGCAGTATAAATGCATATATAATATATACACACAATTACATCTGTTTTGTCTCATATGAGACAAGCTATATTTTGTTTCATATACATTGAAAATCATGAGTTCATACTAATGCCTCCAATTTTACTTAACACCGTAAGGTTTTTCTCATGTTTATAACTCCCTTCTCTTGCATTAAGAAACTCTGACTTCCACCATCTTTAATGTTTTTGACAAAACCTACCACCACTCCCTGTCATACAGATGCTGCTTCAATTCACTCAAACTGATACCAGTATTGTGTCCATGGCCACCACTTTTACTTTCAGCTTTGGATAGTCTCCTTTTCGTGCCTATGCTTCACCAGCTCATGTTGGGCCCCAGTGCCACACAGAAGCTCATCTGGGGCTCTGAACCCTCCTGCAGGCTATCCTATGCATGAGCATCTCTTCTGCTTGGTTAGGATCAAACTGCCTGGTCTGGGTCACTTGTCTCCATGTGGTTACTGTCTCTCTTTGGGATCACATACTCCCTGCTGGGCCATCCCGCCGTGTGGACACCTGCTTACTCTGCCTGAGCCCTTGCAACCCTTGCTAGATGGTCCCCAGGCATGAAACCCGCTTTGTTCTACTTGAACTTTGATTCCTCTCCCTGGGCAGCTGTCCTGCTGAGATGCCCTCCTCACTCGGCTTGCCCTTTGGTACCCTTCATCAGGCCATTCCCTCTTCACTTACAGTGACTTCTTCGCACCTCTTGGACTTTGACACACTATGTAGGGGAGACCTAGTGTGACTAAGGAGCCAATTCTTTCATTTGGGCTCCAACATCTTCCACCAGACTCAGCTGCTCGCTGCTCCCACCACTTTTCTGCTCACTGGTAGAGAGATGGAGAGGGATGGGACGGAGACAGAGACACAAAGATACAGACAGGATGTGAGATGAACTTTGAATCCTCATGCTTGGGTAGCCTCCATGCATGACCTGTTTCCATGAATGCTCTCTCACCCCAGCAGGCAGGCAACTTGTTCTATCCCACTCATGTCTGTTTAGACTGATTAGTAAAAGAGGACACAGAAAGTAAAGAATTTTATTATTCAGGTGTATTTGTAAGATTCAGAATTCAAAAAGTACAAGAGGTAATGCAGTATAGTTGTTTTTTTTTTAATCCTTCTGGCCTTCTTCACATCTCTTCCTTGAACATATAATGGGTAACATATTACACCTTTCCAAAGTTATTGCCCCGTTGTTTCATTGTACTACAATTTTATTTAATTATTCTCTATGATGCTATAATTGATCAACAGAACTGACATCTTTCTGATACTGAATCTCCCTATCCAAGAGTATGGTACCTATCTGTAAGTTTAAGTCTTCTTTTGTGTTCATCACAATTCACTTCAGATTCACCCATTTCTGCAAGGAAGTAGCTACTACTTACCTTCACTTTGCAGATGAAAAATCGGAAATCCAAGGTCCCAGAAATACTAAACTTTTGAGCCCTGCCATTGGGTTGAATGAGTGCCCCCCCGCCAGGGCTTCTCTTTGCCAAGGTATGGTCACCAGCTGTGGTGCTGCCACGGACTGGTGGAGTCTTTAGGAGGTTGGGTCTGGTGGGAGGACGTTAGAACATTGGGGCGCACCCTTAACGGATATGGGGAGCCCAGCGTCTGTCTCCTTTGCTTTACAACTGCTGTGAGGTAAGCTGCGTCCTCCACCACTTGTTCCTGCCCCTGACGTACTACCTCATGTCAGGACCAAGGCAGTGGGGCCAACAGCTCAATAGACTGAAACCTCCAAAACAGCCAAAGTAGATCTTCCCTCCGTATAAGTTGAGAAATACTCCTGACAGGTGTGTCACAGTAATGGAAAAACTAACGAACGCAGATCCCAAAGCCATTATTTGCGACCAGAAACCAGAAAAGGCAGAAGGTAGAAAAGGGGACTGGCTGTTGTTAAGTATGAAATTTGTAAAAATTATTTGTCACAGATTACAGACCACTTGAATTATTTTATTTAGTAGATCATTATAGTTACTATTTCTTAGATTATTTGGACAGTATACATTTTTACCAAACAGTGAAAAATTAAGTAAGTAGTCATCCCAATCATGCTGTGATGATTCATATGTCATTTTTTTCATGCTTTCACGATTGTTTTCCCCAAATTATCACCTTTCAGCATTCCCATAAATGCAGCTGGCATGTTTTCAAATCCTTTGATAATGTGTTCGTGATACTGGATTTTGCCCTGTATCAAAATAACAACAAACATTGATTTCATATTCCAAACAATTTTCTGTTCTCATCCTAGCAACAAGTTTATTATTTATTGTTTTTAACAGTTCATAAGATGGAGGCATGTTTTCTGTAAACTGAAAGTTAATTTCGGGCCAGGGATTTAGGTCAGTGGTTCTGCTGCCTGCCTCGCAAGCACAAGGACCTGAGTTCGATCCCTGGTACCAAAAAAAAATAAATAAATAAAAGTTAATTTGTGGGGGCGAGATCCCTATACTGTATTAACAGATTGCAAAGTACACATAAGAATATGGTAGGTGGGTGTCAGATCACAGAATAACAAGAAATGTCACAGGCAACAATTAAGCAATTGCTAAGCAAATTGTATAGACAAGTTTGGTTTGTTTTGTACCAGGGATTGAACTCAAGACCTCACACTTCACTTGCTACTTTCAAAGAGGCAGAAAAACTGAATAGGATGGAAAGCTAGAATCTATTTAATGCTTAAAAGAGAATGAATACTGTTGTCGACTGAAATGTGAAATCCTTTTTCCTATATGTTAAAGTCCTAATCCCCCGTACCTCACAGTGTGACTGTATGTGGAGACAGGGCCTTTAAAGAAACAATTTCTAGGTATCTTCCTGAAAGAGTTAAAGGCATCATATTACAGTGGTACATGCACACCCATGTTTGTAGCAGCACAGTTCATAACAGACAAATCTTGGAAGGAGCCTATGTGTCTGTTAACAGGGGAATGGTAAGGAAATGTGGTCTGTATAAACAATGGAGTACTATTCTGCCATAAAGAAGGATAAGCTTGAGTCATTTATAAGAAAATGGATGTCCTTTGAGACTAATGCTAAGTGAATCAGACACAAAAGCTCAAATATCGTATAGTTTCTCTTATATGAGAAATCCAAAATGAAAGATAGAGAACAGGAAGTAGGGAGATAGAGCTTTTGCAAAAGGGAAGGGTGCCAAGAGATGGAGAAGTGAGAGGGACGGTAGGAGAAGGGCATGAAAAAAAGAATTAAGATATGTTATGTCTATGTACCAACTCCCCATGAGGATTGTAATCATTACATACTACAAACATGTACTAATAAAAAAAAAGTGAAAAAAAAATACAGCGAGGCCATATGGGTTGGTCATAATCCAGTAAGGCTGGTGCTCTTTTAAGAGGTTGAGACACAATGAGAGAAGACTAAGTAAAGATACAGGGAAAGGCCTAGGAAGAAACAATCCTGTTGACACCTTTATGTCAGACTTCCAACCTCCAGAACTGTGAGAAAATAAATGCCTTTTGTTTAAGCAACCCAGTCTGTTGCTTTAAACTTTCTTACTGTCGCCCTGGGGGATTAATACAAATACTAATATAAAATGTTAATGATGGGGGAATTTAAGGTATAGCGTGCAAAGAATATGGGAGCTCTCTGTATTATGTAAAACTGTTCTAAAATAAAGTGTATATTGGGCTAGAGATTTAGCTCAGTGTTTCCACCGCCTGCCTCGCAAGTGCAAACACTGGAGTTTAATCACCAGTATCCCCCCCACAAAAAAAAGTGTATTAAAAAAACAAGATGAGGAGGAAAGGGGATGATTGGAACTCACTAGTTACTTAAAATAAAAACTAATCAGCTTCACATTGTTAGAAAGAAGCGTTAAACAGACACCACGGACACCAGCACAGAGATTTCTTCTTGTAGCTGTAATCATGGAAAGGCGAGATTCTGTTTTGCCAATGAGGACAAAGAAGCAACACACTGGGAATTTAAAAATAATTCAGCTCTTCCCAGGATTCCAGAGAGCTCAGCCCAGCACTGCGAGTGTTAGACTGGGAAAACTGCCAAGCTCCAGTGGCTGCCAGAGGAGCAATCTAGTTTTTTGAATTGGGAAATGACCATATGCCAGGAATTAGCAAGCACTGTATTGCCTTTCCTCTCCAAAACTAAAATAATGCACCTCAATCCTTTAGATTTCTGTTGACTAAAACTCCACATGGTAAGGGGTGGAAATGATCACAGCTCAGGACAAAAGGGGTTCTTCTGGGCCTGAAGGCATGGCTGTGAGAAAGCTCTTTGTGATCTAAGACCGAGGACTGCCATGGCTCACTTAAGTGCTCCTCTGTCATTTATTCATTCTACAACTTGTATTTAGTGCCTACATTTTGTTTTCCTTCTCTTTTGGTGTTAAACATTAAACCCACAGCCTCAGCATGCTAAGCACGTACTATACCACTAGGTCCACATCCCCCAACCCTCATGCTTACATTGATTCAAACCCTACTCGGCATGCTGCAGATATATCAGAAAATAAAATGCATGAATGTTACTGTCTTCATGGAGGTTATAGTCTCATGGAAAAGACATGGCCATACATACAAATGGGATTGCTATGGATAAAAAGACAAGGAGGATCAGAAATAAAGGGATACTTTAACTTAAAGTAAGGTCGTTTTAAAAGCTCCCTCATTCATTCTAATGTTCTGCTGCATACTACGGTTGCATCCAATTAACTATGTATTTTACTAGTAGAGAAGATTTTGAATCGTGTTCCAACCAACCAAAGAAAGCATAACAGAAGTGTTGGATATTCCCATTAACCTGATACAATTATCATTCATTGTATATATGTATTGAAAATTCATACTGTAACTCATAAGTGTGTACAAGTATTATATGTCAATTCAATTAAAAAATTTTGTTTTTGTTTTTTGAGAGAATCTCATTATGCCCTGCCTCGGCCTCCCAAGTGCTGGGATTACAGGCATGCACCACCATGCCTGGAAAAAAAATTTTAAAAGTTGGCTCATTCTTAGGTGATTTTTAACAAAGACTTGAAGGATGTGGGAAGGATTAAGGAAGAAGCCACGGGGCAGGGAGTAATACTTATCAGAGTAAGCAAAGGCATGAACACTAAGAAATGAAATCGGAGAGGAATAAGGGCCAGACCGTGTACAGCTTTGTAGGTTATTACAATGAGCATTTTGGATTTATGGTAACTGAAGTGGAAAGCCTTGTAGGGTTCTGAACATAAGAATGAGAGTTAAAAGATCACTCTGGCTACCGTGTTGGGAATTGTCTGTAGGGATGCAAAAATAGGAGACCAGACAGAAGTCAGAGGTAACTGCAAGCATCCGGAACAGGCAGTATGGTAGCCTGTACCATGGTAGGAGCAGAGGACGTGCAACAACTGGTCAGATTCTGTACAAATTTTGAGGATTGAGTGACCTACTGAAAGATGAGACATGGATATGAGGGGAAAAAACACACCAAAGACAATTCAACGTTTTTGTTTTTTGGTTGTTTTTTTGTTTGTTTGTTTGTTTGGTTTTGTGACAGGGTCTCATTATATAGTCTTGGATTCACTATGTAGCCCACCGTGGTTTCAAACACACTCCTTCCACCTTAGCTCCCCAAGAGCTCCCAAATCCTGTGACTTCAAAGTTTTTGCACTCAGCATTAGAAGAATAGACTTGCTACAACTGAGATGGTGAAGTCTGAGTATGGAGCAGGTTGAGCAGGAAGGATCACAACATAATTACTCTTTGATGTATATTAGGCATCCATATACAGCTATTGAGCAGTTAAACATACCAGTCTGGACTTCAAAGAAGACAGAACTTTTGGGGCTCTCAGGACCCTGATGGTATTTAAAGCTAGGAGCCTCGATGAGCTAATGAAGAGATAATAGAGTGTGAATAGAGAAGAAGAGAGGTCCAAGGACCATGCCTCAGGTACTCTATTATTAATTTGGAGAGAAGCCAGAAGAAAAGTCTGCAGAAGATTAATTAGTAAGGAAAACCAAGTGCTAAAGGAAAGCCAAAGGAAGAAAATACACCAATGGAGAGCGATCACTGTAAAATATTCCCCCATAGACAAGTGATTGTATGGACAGACTCCTGGATTTCCCTGTGTGAGAGACACTGGTGACCTTGAAGAAAGCAGTTTTCATACAATGGCAGCAGTGCAAAAGCCTGATACATGGGTTCAAGAAAGAATGGAAAGAGAGAAACGGCATGTATGTGTATAGACAACATGTCCAGGCATTTTGTTATAAAGGAGGAAATCAGTGAAGTGGTTTTGTAAGTGTAGTGGAAATGAAATTTAGAAAGGGTTCTTTTTTGTTTTCTATTTTAAGATGAGAAAAGTGAGAATGTCTATATCTGAAAAGCAAGGATCCAAAAGGCAGGGAGAGACTGATGATACAGCAGAGGGAGGAACTGGGAGACTAATGGTTTTGAGTAGCAAAAGCCAAAGAAATCAAGGGTACGGTGGAATGGTGTAGTTGGAGAGCTGCTTACCTCTGAAAACCATTTCATCAAATCTTTCAGAGCCTTCTCACGGACTTCTCCCTGCCATCTGGTGACGATGAACCCTTCCATGCGGAGTTGCTTATAGATGATACTTTCTGGGTTCGGACCTGAAAGCAGAGGCACATTTGGGTAACAGGGTGTGTGGAGGTGTCAGCATGCCATGACTGCCAACACACACTGTGCAGAAAACAGAACAATGGCCCCCAAAGCATCCACATTGAAAACCTGTGAATATTTTACCTTACATTGCAAAAAAGATTTTGCAAATGCCATTACATTAAGAACCTTGAGACGGGGAGATTATTCTCTATTAGATAAAGTCTCAAGCACTTTTGTAACAGAAAGAGAGACCCAGGAAAAAATAAGTGACGATGGAAGCTGGGATTGGGAAGGGTAGATAAGAGGAGTAAGAAGTAGGAGGAAGACCGATGCTGCTGGCTTTTAAGATGGAGAAAGGGACCACTTTCCAAGGAACACAGGCAGCTTCCAGAAGTTGAAAAGTGGAAGAACTAGATCCTCTCCTAGAGCCTCCCGCAGGAAGGCAGTCCTGCTGAGCATTTTAGAATTTTGACTGCCAGAAGAAAGAGAATAAATTACTGTTGTGTTAGCCACTGAGTTTGTGGTAATTCGTTACAGCAGCAATAGGAAACCAAAGCACACTGAGATTCCTTGTATAGGTCAGGCAGCATTCAGATCACTGACATTCCAGAAGTAAGACCCACCAAAAACTTCCCAAACAGTCCTACAGAACACAAAGAGGCCTCAAAGATGATGTATTAAAAGGTTTTTTGTTTGTTTGTTTGTTTGCACTTTTCAAGAATGATTGCCCTGACATTCCTCTTCATATTTCAGTGCCAGCGTGCTAGGAATTCCTTGCATTTCCTTCTATTCTGTTCTTAAAGGCGATGCAAAAGAACCAGTGTCCACCTCCAGTCTCAGAGTTAGTAAGAGAGAGAGCAGATCAGGAGATTGGCTCTCACATCTGCCCCTGCCCTTGCCATTTCAGAATACCAAGAGTTAGCCTGAAGAGTGGATCTCAAATTTAGTGTGTAGGAGAATCGCGTGGAGGGCTCATGGAAAAAGACTGCTGGACCCTCTTACAATTTCAGATTATGGATTTGGAGTGGGCCCCCTAAATTCATATTTCTAACAAATTCCCAGGAGACAGTGATACTGCTGGTCCTAGGCCCACACCTTGAGAACCATCAGCCTAGAATGAGCATATGATTCTATCCCCTTGTAAGAAAGGGATTATTTCTATGTGGGACAGAAAAGGTTGTATTGGTTGCGAGTTTTGTTTTGTTTTTTTTCAACCCCAAACATCTTGAGTGACCAGAAACTGAGAGAATAACACCTACATATAGTCTTTCAAGTTCCAAGAAGTCAGGTGAAGGTGCCTAGGGAGTATCAGAGCCAAAAGAGCCCAGACAACTTGTGGAAACTACCGTCAGCATCCTAGATACCTGGCATCACTCACATAGAAAGTCCCCACTCTTTACTATGAAGAAGACAGCATGAGCAGGAAAACTGAGCCAAGAGAAACTAGTGCATAATAAGTGACACATCCAGATTTTTCTTCAGAAGACACCAACAGTGTTTCTTTCTGAGTTAAGGATCGAAACCCTATTTTCTCAACTTGGAAGAGAGGGAAACAGTATTACTGATGGGAATATTGATTTTTCTGAGCAAAACAACAAATGTAACAGTAACACTGGTGGAAATAATTACTTGATTCCTAAATGTCCTAGTAATGGAATACGTAAGAATTTCTGGAGATCAGAAGCAATGAAGAATTCCTGTGGGTTAAAATGGAATGGACAAGGTCCGCTGACATCCCCACGACCTGTCTGAATAGCTGACCTTCCAGCAGTCATTGTTAAGAAGGTTAGATCAAGTTACTATACCTCGTTAGACTGTGGCTAAGAAAATGCACCTTGGAGCTCTGCTCAGCTGAATGGTACATGATTTGCTGTGATTCTAGTTTAGCACCAATTAGAAAAACATAAAAAGAAGTCTCCTAACCATGTGATTGCCAAATGGATCTTCTTGGAGAAGGTCATACTTTGATTTTTCATAACTCAAGAGAATCCACAACTTATTTTTTCCTCAGCCCCTTCCACTCTAAGCCCCACCTATCTCCATTTGGCTGTGTTTCTAATTAGTGTGGCTAAAGACGTCATTCGGGGGATTTGGCTCAGTGGTTCCATTGATGGATGTTTTCCTAGATCTTGATTATAGTCTGAAAGATTTCTTTTTATTCTTCTTTCTCCCTTTTTAGAACCACAGGTAAATCTGTAACTCTATAACAGCACAGAATGATTAGGGCAAAGAATGACCTTATTTGAGGAATTCAGAACAGTGGTCTCTGTTGTGAGTCTACTGCTAATGGGATTTTAAGGATTCTCAGGTTGTTCATCTTCCATCCATAAAATGAGGCCTGTGCAAGATGTGGCACCGGACTGGGAGGAATGCATACAGTTCTCTGTTGGTATTGCTTTTGCACTGCTGTTGAGTGTGGAGAGAAAAGAGTGGCTTCATCATAAGACAGTGGAGAAATGGGGTACGAAGGGCAGAGAAGGGCAGCAGAAAAACAAAGCAAGGACAATCAAGGAATGCAGGTAAAACACATGCCCCCTTTCTCTTTTAGTGGAAACTTAACTTGACCAGGCCAAGGAATCTTGTCACTCCAGGGAGCACTGTCCAAGACTGTGAAGAACATGCAGACTGCCTTTCCCTTCACCCACTCTCCACCCAAACCCACACCTTCAGCAGTGAGACTAATACCATGGAGAACTCAGATGTTCTCTTTCTAAATCAAAACTTGGTTGTCTTTATATAACGTAGCAGAAAATAATAGGTAATCAAAGCTTTTAATAACTGCAAATGTTTTTTCCATACTTGTTCATCCTACTTTCAGTACTGAAAGCTAACTTAAGCTTAAGAAATCACATAGTTTTAATTTCACAAATACTATTTCATCATTATTCATCAAGAATAACAGCCGGGCGTGGTGGTGCATGCCTGTGATCCCAGCACTCAGGAGGCTGAGGCAGAAGGATCACTTTAGTTCAGTGGTTCCGCCGCCTGCCTTGCTAGCGCAAGGACCTGAGTTCGATCCCCGGTACCAAAAAAAAAGAATATCAGGAAATCTTTCATATGTGCTCATAGTCACTGGCCTATCCCATGTCTGTGAATCTTCCCTTACCCAGTCTGCCTACATTCGTGATCATTTGCATCAACTTGTTACCTGGGGGAAGTTGGCCAGTGCTGTTATACACGGAGATCGCCCCACATATGGCGATTCTTCCAAATGCCTTCATCTGGGGTATAACGGTACTTGAGAACTCTCCACCTACCTAAACAGATAGGGAAACAAGCAAACACTTTACATGATGCAAACACTAAATTTACGAGAATCATCAAGTCACAATCATTATTTCATAATGTTTTAGTTGCAACAAAAATGACTGGGCCACGTGCTTACTAAGCCTGGCTATTCTGGAGGTGGAGGCAAGAGGATCACAAGGTCAAGGCCAGCCCGAGTAACTTGAGAAAACCTTGTCTCCAAATAAAACTTTTAAAAAGGGCTGAGGATGTAGCTCAGTGGTAGAGTGCTCAATTTGTGTGTGGACACCCTGGGTTTGATTTCCAGAACACACACACACACACACACACACACACACACACACACACACACAAAACAAGCCAGAACAAAGAGTTAATCAAATTAGCACATCAGTGCAGAAAATTACAGTTAGGAAAAGACATTAAAAATGGACGTTTCCATATGACTCTAGGAACATGTGAAAGTTTTAATTTAAATATTATGGTTCTCTGATGAGTTCAATGGTTTCATTGTCCTATAATGTAAACGTGGAAAAATATTGAAAAGACATATGAGGGACAATGTTGGAAGACTCACAGTTTCCAAATTCAAAACTTACTACAAAGCTAAACCAATCAGGTCAGCGTGAGAATAGAAAATCAGACCAGGGGAACTGAATTGAGGGCTTAAAAAAATGAACATTTATGATCAACTGATTTTCTACACGAATGTCAAAACGATTCAACAGGAGTAAAATAGTCTTTTCTCAACAGTGCAGAAAAACTGGATATCCACACAAAAAGAATAGAATTGGACTACTTCCTTACACTATACACACAATACAGACATGAATATAATGAATAAAGGTGCAAAACTCTTAGAACGAGTACAGGAGTAAATTTTGGTGAACTTCAGTAAGGCAAAGAAGATTTCTTAGATGTGACACAAAAAGCCACAGCAACCAAAGGAAAAACACCCAGATAAATTCGACTTCATCAAAATCTAGAACTTTGGTGCTTCAAAGGGTACCATTGAAAAAGTGATGATGACTCATGGAATAAGGGAAAATAGTTGCAGACCGGGATGCATGCTACAATTTTTTCATAATGTCAAGATCAAAACTCACAGAGATTTCACTGGGAGTTTGTAGACATGCACAACACAGAGCAGCAGAAAAGAGATAGCTGTTCCCAGCAGAGACTAAACAAGGAAGATAATCAACTGCTTTTTGTTTCAGCTCTCATGTAGAGATGACCAAAGGATGGAGAGAGCTGGGGGCAGTGCAGTGTGGTTCCCGAAGCTCAGGCTCTGGGGACCACCGGATGGGTACGTACACCAGCTCGGAGGGGAGGAGCGCTGAGGGGCCAGAGCCAAGTTACTGAACACTTCTGAACCTTATTTTTTCTTTTGTAACAAAGAAAATGGAAAATACTAGGAAGTGTTGCTTATAGGATTTAAGAGTATAATAAAACAATGTACATACGTGTATGCAATTCTCCTAAAAGCAGTGGTTTAGCGGCCTTGGTGACTTCACAGAATGTAACTACTGTGAATAATGAAAATCATTTCTATCCGATCCATGAAGAACTCTTAAAACCCTAGAAATAACCCACTTGGAAAGTAGGCAAAGGATTTGAACACATATTTCTCCAAAGGAGATGCACAAGTGTACACAGAAAGATCCCAAATATCATTAGCCATAGGGAAATGCAAATCCAAACTTCAATGAAATACTTCAAACCCACTAAGATGGCTACAAGAAGAAAACAGACAATTACAAGGGTTGGTAAGGATATGGAAAGATTGCAGCCCTCACAGATTGCTGGTGGGAATATAAGATAGTGCACTCACTGCATAATAGTTTGGCAGCTCCTCAAAATGATTAAATATGAAGGTACAATATGCCCTAACAGTTCTACTCAAAGATGGACGGATACCCAAGGTTAATGAAAACATGTTTGTGCAAAAACTTGTACATGAATATTCATAGCAGCATTATGTTTTTTTTGTTTTTTGTTTTTGGTTTTTTTTTTGGGGGGGGGGTGCCGGAGATCGAACACAGGCCCTTGAGCTTGCGAGGCAGGAGGCAGAATCACTGAGCCAAATCCCCAGCCCGTCATAGCAGCATTATATGCAATGGCCAAAAAGTATAAGCAATTCAGATGTCCATCAATTGTGGGTAGATAATTAAACTTTGGTATATCCATATAATGGACTATTTTTTAGCCATAAAAAGGAATGAAGTACTGATAATGCTACATTGTGGGTGGCCCTTGAAAACATTCTGCTACGTGAAAGAAGAAATGAGAAAATGAGGTGCTACCCTGCCATAAAGAAGGATAAAGTAGAGTTGCTTGTAAGAAAATGGATGCACCTTGAGCCCAGAATGTTAAGTGAAATAAATCCGACACACAGATTCATCTTACGGTTTCTCTTACAAGAGAAACAGAATGTAAATAAAGAGCAAAACAAAAGATAGATAACAGGAAGTAGAAAGATCTTTCTTAAATGGGAAGGGGATGAAGAGATGGAGGAAGTGGGAGGGAGGAGAAGGAAAGGGGATTTAAAAAAGTAATTAGAATGTGTTGTGTACATGGACCAATTCCCCACAGGGAATGTAAACGTTATGTACTACAAACATACTGATAAAAAAGATAAAAAGGCATATGTACTTTCTTTGTATATTTTATATAGGAAGTTTAGAAATACATTCTTTCATGTGGTATTTTATCAGTTAATCAGGTAACTCCAGTTCACACTTACATTATCAAAATAGCAATCATAACCATCAGGGGATGCTTTTTTCAAAGCTTCTTCCAAAGAATCTACTGTCTTGTAGTTAAAGGCAACATCAAATCCAATTTGTTTAAGATATGCAATCTTAGCATCAGACCCTGCTGTTCCAACAACTCTGCAGCCCTAAATAGGGAGAAAAACGGCAACTATTAATGCACCAGGAACATGGACCAACTCCACTCTCTTACTCTAGTCCAGGTTCCCCAAGAACACACTGTGAGTCCTAACTCAAGTGAGTCCTTCACAAACAAATGGGACAAAGCTTTTAGCAAAAGACAGCAGCTTCTCAGTAACTAGGGCAGATGGACTAAAAACACAGTATATAACCCCTTGGCGCCAACTGTGTACATACCTGAGCAGACCGTCCTTGGGCATCCAAGTCATAAATATTTCATCCCAGATTCGTAAGCCCCTTCAGTTCCTTTCCCAGTTCATTGCTAATCTCTCTCTCCCCTGGTGTTAGCCCATCCAGTCACAGATGAAATCTCTCCCAGCTAGCTGCTTTCTCTCTCTTTCAATGTCAGCCCATCCACACATGGATGTGATAAACTCAGCTTTTCCAAGCCGGAATCTCCTGATTTCTAGTCCCTGTTAAGTGGAATACACTTAAAAAGCCTATTTTAAAAGCCTGTTTTTGATCAGTGGATTCTTTTTTTTTGGTACCCGGAATCAAACTCGGGCCTTGCGCTTGCAAGGCAGTCGGCAGAACCACTGAGCCAAACTCGCAGCCAACCAGTGGAGTCTTTATGACACGCACTTCATGTATAAGGCATACCAGAGGCGGCCGATAGACCTCATGGATGAAATCGGCCCCTATACCAGCCTACAACCCAGCTTAGCTTGCCTTGCCCCTCAACAGATACTGTCTATGTTTATTGGATTTGCAATTCATTTTAACCTGCTGCTTCAACAACCTATGTATTTGACTTCCTGGGTTTTTCATTTGGGCACCTTTTTCCCCTGCTTTCAAAGATGACTGTTCTATCTCTTGGTGCAGTGGTTCTTTAGACTATTCTTTGGGCTCAACCCTTGGTAACTGACCCTTAGTCTGAATTGGTCCAAAGCACTGGACTCCCTAATCACAGAATAACTGGAAAGCACTTTGTAAAGCAGTCTTGGGATGAGAGCACTGATCCAGAGGGATTAGGTCCTTGGGAATCTAACCCCAGCAAAATGAAAGAGCATTTTCAGATGCTGTAACCAAAACTTTTGAAATAATTATATGGAATTTTGAATTTAGATTATTGAAACAAAATGTAAGATATGGAAGTAGAATAAAGGAGTAAAATATGCTACATTGAAAGTTCATATACATAGGCTATGTTTTTTGTATAAAAATATGTATACAAACACTAGCAGAATATAAGATATATTTCAAATATATGCACTAGCAGAATTTAAACAAAACCTTGATTTTAAGTAATTAGAGAGAAAATAAATATTACAGCAGAAAGAGAAACCAATAAATAAACAAAACAAAATGGCTTAAATTTACCTATTAAAACACTGAGACTTCGAAATAGGGAAGAAATAAAATGCAGCTATCTGCTACTTACACAAAATACACATAAAATGAACAGAATGGTTGAGTATAAAATAATAACTTTAAGGGCAACTCCTATCAGATTTTACAATGAAAGTCCCTTATATTTAAAAAAAATATTTGAAATGGGCCAGGGATTTAGCTCAGTGGTGCCACTGCCTGCTTTGCAAGTTCAAGGTCCCGAGTTCTATCTCTGGTACCCACCCCCCAAAAAAAATTGAAGCAAGAATATTAGAAATATTTCTAATTCATTTTGTAAGTCTAGCATGAATTAAGTCTAACTAGCCACTCTAAGCTTGCAAAAACAAAACTTTTAAACTCAACTCACCTATAAATACAGATGCAAACATTCTCTTAAAATGTTATTAAGTCCAGGCTGGGGATGCATCTCAGTGGTAAAGCATGTGCTTAGTGTGCTGAAGACTCTAAATTCAATCCCCAGCACACCCCTCTCCAAAAGATCAATTATAAATCATATGTAAATAAAAATTATTCTGGGAATGCTAAATTGGCTCCGTATTGGAAAACAAATATAATTCACTAACTGCAAAGTGAACATGCTAAACTGGGTATGGTGATACGTGCCTGTGATCCCAGCACTGTGGGAGGTTGAGGTAGGATTGCAGGTTCAAGCCTCATCTGGGTAATTTAGCCAGTTAGTGAGACCTTGACTCAAAATAAGAATTAAAAAAAAGGGGACAGGGACAACGTAGCTCAGTACAAAGGCCCTGGGTTCAATCCCCAATGCTGAAAAAAAAAAAAGTTAACATGCCAAATAAGAAATGGCATTCCTAAAAGCCAATCTCTAGTCTTATTTTTTCACTTAAGTAAATTATTTCTGTAATCTGTATGCAGCCTCATATTTATATTCTAAATTCCCATTAGTACCAGAGACCAGCCTGAATCATTGGTTGTTGCGTATAGCTTTGTAATTCATCTGCCTTCCACTTACCTCACCCTGAGCCATGTACCCTAGCCTCTGGCCAAGTTAGACTGGATCTGAGCTACCTCAGGCCCTCCAACTTCAAACTATGAGCAAAGATCTTCCGTGTACCACCCAAAAGTTAGTTCTTTCTTCTGGGCAACAGCCTTTGCAATGCAGCTAGCTGGGTGATGACTCTTAGTTTGGCTGCTGTGAAGTTCTTTGATTATAGGCAATCATGAAGTGAAGTTATTAAGCTATGGAAAGTGATTATTTAGTTAAAAATATGAAAATATTGGCTCTTGGGCTGGGGATTTAGCTCAGTGGTTCCGGTGCCTGCGTCACAAGCGCAAGGACCCGAGTTTGACCCCCGGTACCAAACAAAAAAGAAGAAAAGAAAAGAAAATATTGGTTCTTATAAACTCACAGCTGTAATGGAGGACATTTTGGATTTGATACCTACAGTGTTAGCAAGTGACAATGTTCAGCTTATTTTTGCTATGCTGCCCCTCCTCACTTCTCAACCTGGAACTTCTAATTAAGGTCTATTCATTAGAACACGAGCTCCTTGAGGTCAGGGAAAGGCTGCTTGCTGTGTTCACTGTTGCGTTCCCAATGTACACCGTGGGTCTAAATAAATGTTTGTTGCTGGAAAGAGACACTTACCTTGAGCTTAGCTATCTGCCCCACAACAGAGCCCACTGCTCCTGCTGCTGCATTAACCAGCACTGTTTCTCCACCTTTCACGCCACAGATGTCCAATATGCCAAAGTAAGCAGTTAGGCTAAGGGAAGGAAATAAGAACACGTGAAAGGATTTGTTTCTTTCCCCTATGGCTCTTTTATATACCTTGAAGGCTTTCTCACCAGCCCAGTGCCAGGAGCCCTGGAATTTTAAAAAATATTAAATAAAAAGACAGGGAATGAATATTAGCAGCCATCTTTGTCCATTTTCTTCTCTACTCCCAGAGACGAATAAAGATGATGTGAACTACGAGAGGAATGGAGATTTGGCTGGAGAGAAGCTACATGCAGTTCATGTCCAGGGCAAGTCGAGAGGTGAAAGAAATTTTAGTTCCCCCGTAACAGCAGACTTAGCCCACAGTGTGGCAGTTCTTGGCAGGATAGCAAGATCAGGCCGAGAGGAATCGAGAACGCACCCGCAGGTTGGAGGGAAGTTTATACATCTACAAACTGATCAGTCACTTCCTTTTAAAAATAAAATGGAAGTAGGTTGGAGAAGAAACTAACGGTGAACTCCACAAAGTGGTCAGCCCAGAGTTGGCAGTGAACGGGGTTTATATGGGTTAAGGGAACGGGTGTGGGGATTCAGAAGTAAGGCATTTCGCATCATTGGATGAGGAAGTTAGGTTTCGTTCACACAAGAAAAGTACACTGGACACAGACAGACACTTCCTGAGAGCAAAGGACAACAAAGGAGGACCTGTGTCAGGTGTGGGAGGGGTATGAGCTGCAGGTGGTTCTTTGTCAGTTAGGTCAGCTAGACACAGGAAAAACCTTTTTTGCTCAGAAATAGTTTTCCAGCTCACGCCTTAAACTTTGGGGGATTTCAAAATGGAGAGTTTATGCCTCATCATCACGTAAATCCTAGAGAAATGGTGAGCTCCACGGAGAAAGCTTATGGGTTATCATAGTGTCTGGGCCAGATTAGATACAATACTGGGATATGTCTAGGCAGGAGAGGGTTATAGAGAACTTCTTGAGTGTTCCACACCTCCAGAGAAGTATGGAAGAACTTCTGTGCTCTTCTCGTGGCCTCGAGTGGCATGCCGGAGTTAGCTTGCAGGAAAAGAACTACTGAGCCATTACCAAACTTCACTTCCTTTTAAAAATAAAATGGAAGTAGGTTGGAGAAGCCAACAAACAATCCAAGAGGAAAACTAAAGGTGAACTTTGGACTAAGAGGACCTTAGAATCAACAGCTTGGAAAGAAAAATGTGTCGTTTGGATCTTACATTCCCTCAAAGACCCGTGTGTTAAAGCACCAAGTGGTGGATTTTTTAGGAGGTAGTGTTTTTTCTGGGGGGGGGAGAGAGTTAGGTCTTTGAGGTTATGTCTTGCACAGGACTGTGGGACCCCAATCTCTTCTTTTTCTCTTTCACTTCCTGGCCACGGAAGGAGTAATTATGTCTTACCACGTACTTCTGCTGTTATGCGCTGCCTTGCCACGTGTCTAAAAGAAACAGGACCAATCTATCATGCCCAGGACCTCTAAAATCCAGAGCCAAAACAAATCTTTTCTCTTCATAAGTTGTATCCCCATTAAAAACTGAGAACCACTAGTTTAAAGCCGAGTGACTGACTGGAATAAAAGCACAGTCCTTGGGATAGGGAAGCTGCATAGAAAACACAGGCAAATGGATAAATTATCTTCTTTTTTAGGAGCGAGGCCCTCTGAGTAATTTATAAAGTACTTTCTCCCCAGAAAGCCACGAGGGCCTTGCTCATAAATTTCTTCATGTCTACCTACCTTTACGTTTGCTTTCCTACTACACCTGAGTGTAGTAGTGTATCCTCCTATCCTGAGGATAGGAGGATAGGACGACAATATGGAAGGAACGGAACAGCTCTTACCAGTCGAGGGTTGCAGGACAGGCAGGAAAGACCAGGAAGTAAGGCTGTCATTCTGGTTAGTGTTCAGTAATTGAAAGTAAAATGCATTAAGCATCCTCTAATTTCACAATGATGTGCTCTTGCAGGGGTGATTTTGAGTTTAAATTCGGACTGAATATTGAAGTTGAGGTATATGGAGGTTATTTTTAGTGGAGACTGAATTTGGGGGTGTGACAGTTTAAACTTAACTGTCAACTGGATGGACTTGGGAGCCAACTAGAGGTTTAGCAAAGCATACTTCCAGGCATGTCTGAGTGGTTCACGGGGGCATGATCTTGAGTTTCACATCTGCTCCCTCACCCCTTCACCCCTTTCCCTCTGGTGCTGTTCCCCTGCCATACTTCCTGGCCACCAGTGAATTGTGCAGTTTTGTCACCTGACAAACTCCCATCGTGTTTCTGCCTTGGAGTCAGCTGATCATGGACTGAAACCTCTGAAACTGTGAGTCAAACTATTTTAGAGTTTGGCTGTTGGATATCTGGTCCCAGCAAAGAGACAGCTGACTAGTGAAGGCGGTTCCTTTATGTCACATTTTGCCAGATGCTCGTATTAATCATGCTCCCTGTTATTTCTAACTGTTGCTTTCTCTTTATATCTGAGGATCTGAGACTCAATTTCCTTCCTTTTCCTTTAGCTGCAAGGATGATTTCTAGATGCTATGATTTGTATCTGTATGTCTCCCCAAAGTCTCATACAGTTATAAGTGGGGAGTTTTGAAGGTGGATGAATTAGGGTGTGTGAATGTAGATTAAGGGTATGGGTAATGGATGCCCCCTATCACCATATGGGTGGCGGCAATCAATAGGTTTACAGCTGGAGGGAATAAAGGGAGAGCGGGAAGGCAGGCTGGCTACTGCTGCTCTCTTCCTTCTGCCTGCCATGCCATAAACTGTTTCTCCTCTGTGAGGTCCTCCTTCCAAGCCACCCTGCCTTGAAGCCAGCCAACTATGGAGTGAAACCTCTATCAACCGTAAGCTGAGATAAAGCTCTCCTCCTTTAATTTTGGGTGTTGCATATTTTGTTTCAGGAATGAGAAAAGTAACTAACACACTAGGCTACTCTTTTCTTCTTTGAATTTATTGTTAACTAAAAAATAAAAGATGTATATATAAATATTTCTTGTGTACAACTTTTTTGAAATATATAGTTACTTGGTTATAGTGGAATGGTTTAATGAAACTAACATGCAAATTTAGTTGCCGTGGAAACGGCTCAACTGAGCTAGTTAACAACATACATGTTGCCTCACAGTTATCATTTTTGTGGCAAGGACACTTCAAATCTACCTTCTTAGCAGTTTTCAAGAATGCAATATGTTTTCATTAACTATAGTCACTATGTTGTACAATAGCTCCTTGCCCTCTGTCTCAATGCAATTCCGTACCTTTTGACCAACATTTCCTCGGGTCCCAGGCCCCAGCCCCTCAACCTCTGGGAACTATCACTTTACTCTCTCCTTTTTTTTTTTCCTTCCTCTTCTCCTTCTTATTTTTTCCAGTACTGAGGATCAAATGCAGGACATTGCGTTTCTAAGGCGGATGCAGGGCCACTGAGCTAAATCCGCAGCCCTACTCTCTGCTTCTGAGTTCAACTTTTTTAGATTCCATATATAAGTGACATCATGTGGCATTTATCTTTCTGTGCCTGATTTATTTCACTAAATGTCCTCAATATTCAACCATATCGTTATAAATGTCAGAATTTGCTTCTTTTTAAAGGTTGTATAATATTCAGCGTGTGTGTGTGTGTGTGTGAGAGAGAGAGAGAGAGAGAGAGAGAGAGACTTTCTTTATCCATTCATCTACTGATGTACTTTTAGGTTGCTCTCCTTGCTTTCCTTAGTCCTACGATGTTCTTTAAGCAGCCTCTGGCCTATAATTCCCCAAGTCTCTTCTTGTTGACCAAGTTGTATACAAACTGTTTTGGAAAACCGGAGTGTCAGGCACTCAAACAAATGAAATATACCCATGAAACTCACCCTGGCATGCCAAATGTCCCCAGGGCCAAAGACAGTGGCACTGTATCTGGCCACTCTGTAGGCAGTTTTTCCAGCTCTTTCCCATCAGAAATGGAGTGTGTTGTCCAGCCTGAATGAGCCACTACGATGGTTCCTGTTGGTAAGGCTGAGTTTTTACTTTCCACAATTCTGAAAGATAAAGCACAGTAAGACAGGTGACACATCTTCCCTTTCACAGGAGTCAGGATGCTGTGTGGTTAAGGTTTACCAGTGACATTCCATGGCTGATATCCTGTCACACTGTTTTGGCAAAGTGGAACAGCTCAGTGTTACAGCCATGTTCTACAGCTCAACTGCTACACCCACAGCAATTTGTAGACTTGAGAATCTGAAAGTTGCTCAGAGAGATGGAGAAAAACCTTGACTGCCGCCTGACTCAGAGGAGCTTGCCTACTCCAAATTCGGAGCACTGAGTAGAAATGGGAGCCACCTTATGTATAGAGTTCTACAGGGCAGGGGGCTGGGCCTACATGCTGGGCAAGCATGTTCACAGAAGAGGGAGGGTGGGGTTACAGAACATTCCCGAAACATGTACCAGGTGAGCATGCTCACAGAAGCAGAGGGGCAGAGTTGAGAGAACATTTGTCTGGTAGGAATATCTGCAGCTCAGACACTTACAGAACATTCATCTACTGATGAATCTATGGATACAATGGGCAGGTGCACTGTGCAGCACAAATGGTTACATTTCTGGAAAAAAAGACATGATGGGGGACAAGGGCACAGGCTTGCCCTATTGTGTATTATTGCTTTATCAACATCTCACCGTCTTAATTCTTAGCCATTGGGAAAGGGGCCATCAGAGAACTCTCTTTACTGACCCAGCATCTATCTCAGTCCTCACCCATTTCTCTTCCTTTTAATCCAGAAGACTCAACCCAATGGCTCAAGTTGCCCAGGAAACCATCCTCTCTTCTTCAGAGGTCACCCTCTATTCCTTAGTCCTTTCTCTTGAATCTTTTAATATTTTCCTCTCTAATGTTCCTTTCTCTCAGCATATTAGAACATTCAACTCTGCCATCTTACAATCCCATCCTCGCCTTTCCTTTTTACCTTCTACAGCCAAACTTCCTGTTTCCCTTCATTTTACAACCTGCTGTGATTGAAATATGAAGCTTTCCCCAAAGACTTATGCAGCAATGTTCCAAGGGAGGGGGCCTAGAGAAGTACTGGATCATGAGGGTGCTGACCTCATCGCGGATTAACCTATTCGCTAGTTTATATCTGAATAGGCTTATTGGAGGTAGGCCTTCCTGAATGAGAGTATGGCTTTGAATGTTTGTTTTTCCTAGCCCCTTCCTTTCTGGCTCTTTGCAACCATCTCTGCTTCCCAGCCGCCATGAGGTGAGCAGCTTTTTTGCGCCATGCCCTTCCACCAGTGTTTCTGCCTTGGAGCCAGCCAGCCACAGGCTGAAACTTCTGACACTGCGAGCAAAAGCAAACCTTTCCTCCTTTGAACTGTGCATGTCAGGTATTTGGTGATTACCAAATAGGTGACTACCACACACCTATCTTCCACTCTTACTACCGCACCAAGCTCCCAACGACATCCTGATTGGAAAATCCAGTGAATATTCTTTAGTCATTATCAGCTGTTCAGTGCTGCAGATCACCCAATATGCATCCCCCACAGGTTTCTAGGCTCCCAAGCTCTTCTGGCTTCTTTGCTTCCCTCTCTAAACTGTCCTTCTCCATCTCATTTATTGATTCCTTTTCTTTCATCTTCTCTTGCTCTACCATTCTTTACTATCTTCTCCCCAAATCATAAACTTATTATAACACATATTTACTCTAGAAAATGTAAAACACCCTTTAGAAAATAAAATATCAGGCTGGCTAAAGATTTCACTCGGCAGTAGAATGTGTGCCTATCACATCTGAGGTGCTGCGTCAGTATCCTCACACTGCAAAAAACTTTAATAAATAAATATAAACTTTAAAACATCAGTTATAATCCCACAACAATAACTGCAAATATTTGGTGTTTTAATGACAATTTTAATGGTATATTTGTAAATTCATATTATAAGTGAAGTAATGTTGGTAACTTAATTTTTCTCTCAACATTATACTAGTCTATATGATTTAACCTTTTTCCATGTTATGAAGATTTTTTTTTGTTTTGTTTTGTTTTTTGTTTTGTTTTGCTTTTTGAGATGGGATCTCACTATGTAGTTGAGACTGACCTGGAACTCACTCTGTAGCTCAGACTGGTCTAGAACTCACAGCGATCCTCCTGCCTCAGCCCCGCAAGTGCTGGGATTACAGGCATGAGCCACCACGCCTGGCAAGAATTCTTAAAAAACTGTAATGAATTTGTTTCCCCATCAGTAGCCTATTTCTAATATCATTCCTAATGTAAATTATATTTAAGTTAATATTTACCAATACTAACTTACTGTTTCCTTAAACTGAATAGCTATAAATGGAATCCCTGGGCCAAAGGGTATGAAAACATTTGTAACTCTTGCTGTCAAACTCCTTTCTGGAAGGTTGTGGCAACTTCTTGATGAACAGTAAGGTATCTATTGGTGGACACCATCTGAAGTATGAGTGTATCATCATACCATCTCCTAAACTGGGATTTATATTTTTAAAAAGTCTTTGCCAATTCAGCAAACACAAACAGAACTCATGTCTTCCCTTATCAGCAAGAAATCTATAAAGCCTTATAGAAAGAAAACTGTTAATAGACTGTAGACAAAATGGACAAATGGAGAAATATATTTTGTTCCTAGAAAGATTATAAAGCAATTCCCTCAAAATAAATTAAAAATCACTGAAATACCAATAAAAATCCAAAGAGGACTTTTACAAATGGTATTATAATAACTGGCTCATCATTTAGACATACATAGTTCACTCCTTATTCCAGCACAAAAGCTAAATAATTGAAAAATTTAAATGAAAATAATTGAACTATAAAATATAGAATAAAGCATGAATAAACATTTTAACAGTTTTTTGGGAGAGAAGATTTTTCTAGGCCAGAGATCAACCCAAAAAGCCATAACTAAAAATATTTTTAATTTTATCACATGAGACTTTAGAACTTTGGACAGTGCAGAAGAAAGCAGACTCAAATATTTGCAATACTGACATACGAGAAGCTTTTACAAATCAATTAAACAGATGCAAAGCCCAAAAGCAGAGTGGGGCTCACACAAGGGCACTTTTATATTCTTCCTTCCTTCCCGGTTAATCAGGAAGAGAGTAAGATTGCCTCAGTGGCTTCCACAATCAAACAGTGAGAGAACCATGCAAGCTGAAGGAATTGTAGGTGCAAGGGACAGAGGCAGAGTTCAGAAGGAAGGAAAGAGGCATAATTTCCAGGCACTGGGACACGTAGAAGTAATTACCTGGCCACTTGATGCCCCATCATTATTTTACCCTCCTTCAATCTTTTGGCTGCCACTCTGGAAAAATAAAAAGAAAAAATTTATTCTTAGTGTGAAGAGCATCTGGGAAAAAACGTTTTTTAATTTCTAGCAAAATAGAAAACACCTGGGGTAGTATGTGCAGAAACCAGACCCATAGGGGCAGCACTTACACTATCGAGGGAGTACTTCCGCTGTATGATCTTCAAAGATGCACTCTAACAGGATTTTTTATGAGTGAAAGTAAGACTCTTACTACCATGTTCAAGTAGAGATGAGTTTCAATAAGTGACTTTAACATTTTTAAACCATGTTTTTCATTTGCGATTTGAATCTTTATCAATCAACTATGAAAAAAGTATTTAAAAGAATGATAGATACAGGGATACGATTTACTTTGGCAAAAAATTACTGAGGCATCGGTAGCCTATAAAGGTTGTTTTGTTCCCTTCCCTTCCTGAATTGTTTACTGTGTATATTGGTTTGAGTCAATACTGATTACCTAGATTGAAGGAATACAGTCATTGGAAGGCAAGAATAGCTGATTTTAGCCTTAGTAAATAATTTGCCCAAATAAATTTACAGCGATGAAATGGACCAGTTAGAGGTTAGCTTCCTCTTTTCCTGTTCTGCCCTAAGCCATTCTGGTGAGCAATAAAAAGCAAACTATACACAGCAGATTAGAGATGATTCTAAAGTAAAAGGGCCAGGGTAATCCCTTGCTGAGCTTCTCAGACCTTTGCCTGTAGAAACTGAGCATCTATGAATCCCATCACGGATACAAACCAGGAAAAATGAGGAAATGACTGTGTTGGCCATTTTTAAAGATGGCTACAATGCTCACTGGTCACTGTGGATGGCCTGAAATAAATAAAATTCTACACCGGTATAAATAAAAATCTTCTAAAAAGACAAGCTAAGGCATTTCACTATAGTATCTAACACACAACTTAAGAAGTTGTAGGAAGAAAAATGATACCTCATGTAAGGATCCACAGAGAGAAACAAAGCTTCAAGCAGGACCTCTACAAAAGAAAGCATTTTACAGGCAGTTAAAAGCGGAAGCCTGATGTCTTTGTTGTTTTTTGGCATTAAAAATAAACACATAATATCTTTCTACTTTGGGGTTGTCCTCTTACCTATGTTTGTGCTATTGTTTTTTTTATTTTTGCACTGATCGAGACTGAACCAGGGCCTTGTGCATGCTTGGCAGATACTCTACCATTGAGCTATACCCCCAGCCCACTGTCTGCTTTCTATTGAAGAGACCAGGTCTCTCACATTTGTCCAGCCCATTTAATAATCACGATGATGATGATGATGATGATGATGATGATAATTTACTCCACATTCCACCCTTTATATGGAGTATTTCAATTGATGTTCTTAGCTATTATTTCCATTTTATTTAAGTTTAGGTTAAACATTCTGCCAAATGTGCAACCCCTGTGTTACAGTGCTCACATGGGATTTCGGCCTCAGTCAGTATGAAGAACAGGCATTTTAACAGAGTGACCTTCATGAGCACATTTTCTGGAATTTTGCATCTGAGTACTGGCCATCTCAACTTAAATGAGATCGATAACCTTGTCATGCTTCCTGTTCCCGTCTCTTAAAAGCTTAGCTATCTGTAAGACACCTCACAGATACCTCTTAGAATCTGAGCTCTGCACATGGGTACTGGGCAGCACTTACCTCACTAGTATGATCGGGATTATGAGGACAGAGGGGACATGCTCCCAAGGTCTGGTCAAAGCCTTAAAGAGTAATTCATCCAAGCATGAATTCCAGTTGTCAAAGCAAACAAAGGGAACTTCTGGGAGGACATCAAACCTTCATACAGAGGACTCTGAAAAGGTCTCTGTGGCAGATTGCAAAATGGCTACAAATACCTCTGACCAATGTGTATTAGCTCTTGGCCACTCCTTCCATCAAGAAATCTATTTCTAGGGGCTGAGGATGTAGCACTATGATACAGCACTTGCAGAGCATGCATAAGGCACTGGGTCCGATCTCCAGCCTCAAAACAAAATGAAAGAAGGAAATGTGGTTTCCCATCCCTTGACTCTGGGCTTGGTAATATTACTTGCTTTGGCCAATCAGATATTAGCAAACACGACCACAAGCAGAAACTTGAAAAGTGCTTGCACTCTGGAGTCACTCTGGTTGCTGCACATCCACAAGACCACTAGGAGAACAAAGCTCAAACTAGCCTCCTAGGAAGGCTCAGAGAGAACTGAGGTCTGTACTGCAGCAGAAAATCTACTACCCACCAGAACCAGACACAGAAGTGAGGCCTGTCCTAAAACAACCCTTTGGCCCAGATGAACAATCACTCAGCTTAATCCAGCTCAAACTGCCAACCCTCAGGATCATAAACTCATACATAACTGCTGGTTGAAGCCACTGAACTTTGGAGTAGGCTGTGATGCTGCAAAAGGTAACCGATAGTCTTGTGCAATTCTGAAATCTTGCGAGTCCAACGTACCTCCATCTTTTAAGGGTGGGAGCTCAGCAGTCTTCAACTCAAAGTCACTCTGAACAGGACTGCCTTGAAAGTGCTTCTTCAGGGTCCAGCTCTTAGCACGAACCATCGTGAGGCTCCTAGAACACAGTAAACATGTAGGCAGCTGCCCTAAAATCACTAGGTGGCACTGGGGTCAGACAGCACGACCATAGTGCTTGTCATATTCTTAACTAACGCCAACCACATTCGTTTAGGGTTTACTGTTCCTGGTGCTGAGCTAAGCACTTCAAAAAGACGATCCTGTTTCATTCCTATAACTGCTGTTTAACAGAGGCACTGTTATCGCCAGGATAGAGATGAGGACACTTCCAAGGCAAGGTACAATGGACACTGACCCAGAAATTCTTCCCACGCGCCACTTAGGCTACGGTTTCTCTAGGGCACTGACAGCTACAGGGTGTAACAACGCTTCCAGTTTGTCGTCTCTCACTAAAAAGTCCTCAGGAAAAGCATCGTAGAAATCCTGCCCCTGTCCTATGCATACAGACGTCTGTCCTAACGCAGTTTCGGGAAGACTGAAAGCCAATGGGTGGCGTTGCTGCTTCACCCCACCTTCCAGAGAGAATTTTCTTTGGCTTTGGCGCCAAGGGGAAAGTCGAGGATTTGTTGAAACCCATCTCCACATAGGGATAACTAAGACTTGTAAAAGGCGCTAAACTTCTGATATCGAACTACTATGCATCGCGTGGGAGCCACGCCCTCCCTATACGGCAGAGGCGCCCACAGAGATGGTGATTTTACTCTGTCCAGTACCCGGCAGCTGGACACTTTGGCCTAGAAGGGACACCTCCACACGGCACGTGGAGTGTTAAAAGTCAAGCTCCTCCTTCCTCGTCCTCTTCAGTTTTAAAATTTATTTTATTTTATTTATTTATTTATGGTTTTTTGAGCCAGGGTCTCACTATGTAGACTGACCTGGAACTCACTACGTGGCCCAGGTTGGTCTCGAACTCACAGTGATCCTCCTGCCTCAGCCTCCCGAGTGCTGGGATTACGGCACGTGGAGTGTTAAAAGTCAAGCTCCTCCTTCCTCGTCCTCTTCAGTTTTAAAATTTATTTTATTTTATTTATTTATTTATGGTTTTTTGAGCCAGGGTCTCACTATGTAGACTGACCTGGAACTCACTACGTGGCCCAGGTTGGTCTCGAACTCACAGTGATCCTCCTGCCTCAGCCTCCCGAGTGCTGGGATTACAGGCGTGCGCCACCATATCCGCGAAGATGGTGATTTTACTCTGTCCAGTACCCGGCAGCTGGACACTTTGGCCTAGAAGGGACACCTCCACACGGCACGTGGAGTGTTAAAAGTCAAGCTCCTCCTTCCTCGTCCTCTTCAGTTTTAAAATTTATTTTATTTTATTTATTTATTTATGGTTTTTTGAGCCAGGGTCTCACTATGTAGACTGACCTGGAACTCACTACGTGGCCCAGGTTGGTCTCGAACTCACAGTGATCCTCCTGCCTCAGCCTCCCGAGTGCTGGGATTACAGGCGTGCGCCACCATGCCCGGCTACAATTTATTTTATTTATTTATCTATTTATTTATTTATTTTGGTACGGGGGCTCGAACTCGGGTCCTTGCGCTTGCAGAGCAGGCGGAGGAACCACTGAGCTAAATCTCCGGCCCTAAAATTTACTTTAAATTGACAGATAATTCCATATGTCCGGGGGTACAATCTGATGTTTTGATATAATTCACAGTGCAGAGTGACCGAATCAAGCTAATTACTTACCTGTGATTTTATTCGCCTATCATTTTTGTGGTTTGAAATGGAAACGTTTGAAATTGTAGTTATTTTGAAATACACATTGTTACTTTAGCTAACCTGCCGTAGAATAAACCTCAAAAATATATTGCAGATTACTCCTATCTGACCCTTTGGGCTCCTTTCAACAACTCCCTTGCCCCTGATAACTCCTCCCAGCCCTCAAGTATCCATTATTCTACTCTACTTCCAGAGTCTTTTTTTTTTTTTTTTTTTTTTTTTACGCAGTGCAGGGAGGTCCGGCCGACCCGAGGCAGGGGTCTGGGGCTGCGCCCACCACACCCAGGCCCGGATCCCCACCCCAGCTACCTTCTCCAGCACATTTGCCCCAGTTGTGCAGTCGCGAAAGTCCCTGCTGAGCCCCTTCCCGGGTGCAAGCAGCTGTGGGGTGCATCGGAAACAGCCCTACCCGGCCCTTCCCTCCCGGATCCGGCCCGGATCCCTCCGACGAGTTTGCCGGAGCGCGAGGCTCGGAGACTGTTCCGCGCCGAGAGCCAGGGCTGAGCGCGGACGCTCCTCCACCGCGGCGGCGTCCAGAGGCGCAGCAGCAAGGAAGAACCGAGGAGACGGGAAGGAGGACAGGGAAAAGGAAAAGCAGGAAGTCGACTGACCAGAGTCTGCCCGTTCCACTTGCTAGAGGAAGCGCTGCGGTGCTCGCCCCGCGGAGTGCTCGGGGCTGGGCTTTGGCTGATTGTAAGGGAGGGTGGGACCGCTCAAGGGCGGAGCTCCTGCTGGACTTCAGGCTCCCAGGGGATCACTGGAAGGGCTCGAGTGTTCACCTGAGTGTAGAAGTCCGCCCTGGGGCCCCGCGTGGGCGATTCGGTGCCTGCGGCCGCAGCGCCCTCCTCGGGAAGCCAGCGGAAAGATGCCCCGTGGGAGAACGGCGGCCCACGGTCAGGGGCCCCAGCAGCTGGGTGGTCCCCCGGTGCGACCCCCTACCTGCCGGTCGGCAGTGTCACCAAAAAGATCCCTTCCTGATTCCTCCCGTACGAGCGAGCCTTCCTGCTTCTGCACACGCCGACATCAGGGGCTTAGTCACAACCTGCGCAGTCTGTTGTCAGATAGGGCTCTAGGCTGCAGTGGGGCACGAGGGGCAGTCGCTGTTGGTTTTTTTTGTTTTGTTTTTTAGAGTGCTCTGCTTGGTGTGACTTCCTTAACTTCTTGTAAGCCCATCCACAAGAATAGAGAGAACACTAGTGCTTAACCCGCAGAGTCACGATGAAAATCACATGGCTAGTCCTGGGGGGAAGCCCTGGATTCATCTCAAGCTCCGGGTTGGGGATTGAATATCATTTTTAAATAAAAAGAAGTAAATATCAAACGCTTAGGCCAGTACAGACTTAAGGTCCACCCTCGATGTACGCGAGAGGTCTTTTAACCTGTCTACCCCCGCTGTTTACTCTTGCTTTACCGCCCACCCACACTGTATTCTGGTCTAGCTACCAAACCGGAGCGCACCGGACAGACGTGTAATACAGATAGGGAAACAATGCAAAGATGTTTAAAGGGCTTTGAAATTCCCCTTTACTCTTCTCTACCCTCTCTTTAATGAGGGCAAATTAGCCAATGCCCTGGGTTACCTAACCAACCATGTATCCTTGGGTATAAGATTCCTCTTTTCTTCCTGCCAGGCTTGCAATCAACAAGACGCTGTGAAAGATTTAGAGATAAGACCTCACAGTTTTCTGCATGAGACGGTGAATGTGAAGTAGTCATCGGTTGTTAGTTGTACAGGTCTGTCAGTTCCCCACCAAGGATTGTTTGTAGGCTTCGAAAGCTTTCCAACAAAGGACCTGAGAGAAATCTAAGTGTCCCTCAGAGAATGTATTAGTTGTTGCTAGGGCTACAACAAAACACGGTACGCTGAGTGGTTTAAACAACTGAAATTTATTTTCTCAAAGTTGTGGAGGCAGGAAGTTGAAGATCTGTATCAGTGGTGAGGAATGTATGGCATAGGTGCTTTTTTTTTTTTAAGACAAAAGGTTTCATTGCAGTGTCTCTCTTCTCCCCACCTCCCCTTTTCCTTACTCTCTTCTTCCTCCCCTCTTCCTGTCCTCTTCCTTCTCTTCCTCCTTTCATTTTCTTCTCCATCCTCTCCTCCCTTTCTTCGTCTCCTGCCCCTCCTCCTCCTTCCTTCATCTTTCTCTTCCACCCCTTCCTTCTCCTCTTCTTCTTGCTCCTCCTTCTCTGCTTCCTCCTTCTCTTCCTCCTCTTTCTTCTTGAATGAAAACAACAGTAAGAAGAGAAAAGTAAACAGTGGGTTTGGAATGTTCCACAGACTGATGAGTGTGAAGAACTCACCCCTCTGCCCCAAGGTTGAAAATCAGTACAACCTGGAAAAGTCCACGCAACCTCCCACGCAGGGAAAAGAAAGATTCTGCCATGGTCCAGCTCCGTGGATAGATGACGACAGGCCTCCTCTTCCTCTGATATTTGGCCCAAGGGCTAACATCAGGTGCAGTTTGCCTTTACCCATCCGGGGCTCGTGGAGTTAGGGCCTCCTCTGCTCTGTAACAGAAATATTGCAGTGTAACTGAAGCAGTAAGCCTGCATCATTAATGGAAGGCTTAATAGTGACTTTAAAAAATCTCATACTTGGTATTCCATGCTGGTTGCCCAGCCGGTCTCCACCGTCTCTTCTACATACACACCCCGCTTTTGTTCAAAGTGACAGTGTGCCCAGTTAAAGAACCTTCTGTCTAAACCTCTTTGTTACTGGAGTTGTGACACAGTTCTGGAGACTAAGACATAATAATCTAATGGGTAGAGAAGAGCTTTTAGGAAAATCACTGGTTTTCTGATTAAAATGAAAAGGGAAAAATCCAGGAGATATATATCTCTGTTCCTCTTCCTGCCTGGAGTGTGGAGGAGGTACTGTGTTGGGGGAGAGGTGAAACAGACTTCTTGGGACCGTGGAAAAGAAAGCCACTCACTAGAAAAGTGGAGGCAGAGAAGAGGCTTTTGGTGTGTGTAGTGAACATGTAAAACATAGGACTTTGTGACCCCACAAAAAGCAGAATTAAGCAAAATAAAACTAGAGTGAAACTGAGTGAAGCTTGACAGCTGACAGCTTGACAGCTGACAGCCTGGGAGCTGTGTGTTAGGACAGATAAGAGTTTGCTGTGACATACGACTAAGAGTTTGAAGTGAGGTAATGGAGAGTGTCAAGGCGTTAACTTAGATAAGGCTTAAACCAAGAACCATCTCCCGCCTTACGACCACCCGTTCCCACTTGAGTACATGGCCTGAACGATAAGGAGCGGTCAGGGCATAAAAGCAGCGAACCCAAGACCAGTCGTCGTCGTCCACCGCGACCCGACCTGACTGTCACACGTCGCTGCTCATCGCGACTTGACCGATTGCTGCCGGAGGCTCTGCCAGAATCCAGACCGAACATCACGTCGCAGCTCGAACCTCTGCTCGACAGCCTCGCACTCTGTGCCACGGACTCAGGTCGTATAGTCCTGTTACAATGGCGATCGGGAGAGTATTCTAGTCCATATGCTATGGTCCTGTTACATCGTGTGGACTGGAATGTTTCTTTGATTGTTGTTCATTCTCTTGATTGCTATTGTGGTATTTTGCCTTAATATTACTTTGCTTTTGCTTTGATATTACTTTGCTTGTGTGACAATAAAATTCCTTAAAAGACATATCACTTGTAACTTTCATTACCTCGGAGCTAGGGAGACATTTCAGAGCTCCCAGCTTGGGATCCGATTCTCAAATCGATGCTCGCGACAGTGTGCTAGCCCTGGTCTTCTTTACTTTAGACTCCTTGGTCCCTGGAGAAAGAATAAAAGTGCTCTGTAAGCCACTGTGGCTTGAGTTTCTAGACAGCATGATTATAGAATGCAGACCTGACCCGGGAGTGCCACAGGCTCAGCCTGTTCCACTGGTTCCCTTGGAGAGAATTTATCAAGTCCATATTTCTTCCAGGTCAGGAGAGGAATGTTGCCCTCCTGGGAGTGAGAATGGCCAAAGCTTATCTGGTATGTGCAGAGTAGATTTCAGGAAAACATGCGCAGAAATTCACTACACTATTAAACAGGATTGTTGTGACGATCGGTGTGACATTGGATACATAGTATGGGCAAGTAGCAAGGCCCTCAAACACTTTGTTTTCCTCCTCTCTTCCTCCTCCATACTGCATGAGTTTTATTTTTGTTTTGTTTTTTTGACATAGGGTCTTGTTATGTAGTTCAGGCTGGCACTGAACTCACGATATAGTCCAGGCTGGTCTTGAACTTGTGGTGATCCTCCTGCCTCAGCCTCCCATGTGCTAGTATTATAGGTATGCACCACAATGACTGGCTCTCTTACGTTGTTTTCAACATTAAGTATACTTATTGAGCTCCTGTTGTAAACAAAGCATGTTTCAGGTACCTGAGGAAGTCAGAGATGAGACAAACACTTGGCTTTTTGGTTCTTGAAAGAATAAAACTGTAGCTATGGGAAGTCTTTGCAAAGAAAGTAAGGGTGCTAGAATTAAAGTGCCAGGAACACAGAATGTCCCATTTGATATCTAATGAAAGATCAAGCCAAGAGCTGACCATGCCATATCAAACAAGATTTCTCTGCCAATCATAATGACTCATCATTACTGCAGTTTGCTAAGTCATCGTGATTAGAGTAGTCACCAGCGACACAGGATCACACACAGAAAAGGAATATGGAACAAAGATCAATAGAATATTTCAAAGGTTGGTTTTTCTCTGAGAAAATACCTTTCTTAGTCCAGGCTTCTGACCTTAGGTTTCAATGACCTCCTACTACACCTAAAAGAATAATTCACTTAAAACAACAAAATGATGTTATCATGTATGTAATAAAAGAATGTTCCACCCCACACAATGCAGACAGTGCAGACATGTAAAGTGTAAAAGGTAAAATATACTATCTGCTTGGTAGGAACTCCTCCTGGATGTTTTTCTATGACAGTGGATTTAAGGAGGAGGCAGATATGTGCTGTTTCTTGGTTACGTCCTCCATTTCTCTCATTTGTGAAACCATTACCAACCTGATGCATAGTATTATTCTCACTATGGCAAGAATTCTTTAGTGCACAAGCGACAACACATTTGGAGAGAGAATGGTTGTCTCTTCTCCCAGCACTTGCAAGGTGGGGCTTGTGCAGCACCGACTGTGAGCCTTGCACTGGAGTTGCCCTTAGTGTCTAATATTTTTAGTCCACATAATAATTCAGGAAGCATATCTAAATCTCGTTAGTCTGCTCCAAAGCCCTTCCCTTTTTTGCTCGATTCTACCATCCAGTGCAGACAGTGCATTCTTCCTGTACGCAGGTGAGAACAAACTTAGGAAAGGTGATATTTGTGGGATGTTTGTCAAGTAGCATCAGTAACACTTCTAACATTTTGAAAGATGTGGAAGGTCTTAGAATGTCACTCTCTCTTCCTGGCCCACTCTCTCCCCTCGCCTCCTATCTGCCGGGTTAATGTCCCACATCGAAATATTTCTGTCATAGGGCTTTGATCTGTCTTGTGTTGACTGTGGCTTGGGTTGAGGCATAGACTTTTTATGCCAGTAACCAACAAAGTGTGCAAAATAAAATATGTAAAACATGATGCGGCCAAATAGAATGGGG